ACTTGTCAGTAATGCCATCAGCTTCAGCCAGGACAGCAATTGCCTGCAGATCAAAGAACTGGCTGATGGCAACCACTAGCATGGTGCCTCCAGAGTAACCACTCTCACCTCCCCACAGAACTGCAGAGCTGGAAGAGGCCCCCGACACAAAGCAGGCAAAACAAGCTTGCCTTACACCCATTTTTCCTGAGACAAGATCACAGTCTTCCTACTCAGTCTGCTTCACCACTTTGCTACCCTTATAAATACAGATTTTCTAATATAAGACCTAATCTCTGCCACAGACTTGCTGCTTATTTTTCCCTTCTCAGCAAACCTGGAGAACAAATCGCTGGCCTCTTTATAACAGACCTTGCTGTAGTAGAAGCTATTAGTGTAGACTACCTTGTCTTTTTTTTTTTTTGAGGAGGAGGGGAATAAAAGAAAAGTTCCTTATGTTTTCCTTATAGGTCACTTTTTCTAAATATCCTGTCATTCCTACTGTTGCACTATGGACCTCCTCTTATTTATCTACATCTTTGTCACAATACCGGGAAAAGCTGAGCACAGTAATGCAGCTGGGATCTCAGAGGAAAGGGACAAGTCATATCCTATCACATCACTCCTGGAGAGTTCCTCTCCCCTGATTTTTGTCTTTTTCTATTTTTATTTTTTTTTAATAAAGCAAACCATGACAAAAACTTTTGTGCATTTTCTGTTTTATTATTCAGACTCTTAATGAAAATTACTTTGGAGTATCAGGCCCAAGATGGACCAATGAAGAGTTTAATTTGAGATGTCAATGACGGGACAGCAGAAGGAGAGTGTTTTGTTTATGCATTCAGAAAAAAAACCTGTATCTTCCAGATGGCTGAGATTAGCAAACATGATGACATGGTAACACAGAGCTTCTGGCACAGACTGGGGAATGGCAGAGAGTCAAAGGAAAAGACAAAGATGAGTGAGAAGCTCACTGAGGAACTGAAAGTGGGAAACAGAATGAGTAAAATAAACCTCTGTTACTGATAGTATGTCCTAGAAAACATGTGAGTTTCTTCCACTGCACATGAAGTCATTAGCATGTGTCCTGGTTTTGGCTGGGATAGAGTTAAATTTCTTGCCATTAGCTGGTACAGTGCTGTGTTTTGGATTTAGGATGAGAATAACATTGATGACACACCAATGTTTTAGTTGTAGCTGAATAAGGTCAAAGACTATTCCGCTCCCCTCACTGCTCTGCCAGTGAGTAGGGCTGGTGGTGCACGAGAAGCTGGGAGGGGACACAGCCAGGACATTGCATCCTAAGCAACCAGAGGGATATCCCATACCATATGATGTCATGCTCAGCATACAAAGCTGGGGGAAGAAGAAGAAAAAGGGAGACAGAGTGCTAGTATTTGTCTTCCCAAGTATCCTGTTTTCTTGGGGATGATTGAACGCTTTCCTTTCCATGCAAAGTGGTGAATGAATTCCTTGGTTTGCTTTGCTTGCATGCATAGCTTTTGCTTTACCTACTGAACTGTCTTCATGTCAACCCAGGAATTTTCTCACTCAACTCTATCCCCACTGGGGAGGGAGTGAGCAAGTAGCTGTGGGTAGCTTATTTGCCGGCTGGGATTAAACCAGAATGGCATGTACTCTCATAAAGATGTAACAAAGTTTTTATGGAACATTTCAGCCATTCATTGGCAATGAGAGGCTTCATTATCCAAGATGAAAATTGGAACAACTCTTTATAATTTTAAGTCTGTAGAGAAGCGAGAATGAATATATTAAGTACCAGGACAAATCAACTAATACACACTAATTTACAACCACAAATGAACTGTGAATTCTGAAAGCATAGGAACAAGCTGCACCTGTAACTTGGAAGGTTAGAAAAAAAAACCCAGACCAAACAGGACAAGCTCCCCATACACCAGCATTGTGTAGTCACTATAAACATATATTTGACTTTGCAGAACTTGCCAAAGGCCTAAGAGTCTGGCAAGCTAGCAGTGAAGAGTTGCATCTAAAATTACCTCCCAAAAAAGACGAGAAAGATGGGAATGAAAAGTAAGCAAATAAGGCATAAAAGGTGTAGTAAGAAAATAATTTAAAAAACACACAAAAAAGGAAACCGATTGTTACAAAAAAGAAAGGGAATAGACTTTTACCAACCACAAACCAAAACCATTCTATTATTCTGCAGATATCCACCATGTTTCTACTATTTTACAAAAAGCATTTTTTAATTTTTTCCTTTTTCTGTCAATTTTGCTCTCCCTGTTCTGTTGATACCTTTCCAACTTGTTCTTTCCCCAACTTAATGTGTTTGGAATGAGTTAAGAAACCAAATATCATGGAAATAAAAGTGCAATAAGAGAGCTGCCTAGTGACACCTTCAGACTTCAGATTTTGGTGGTGATGAAAATGAATTCTGATGCTACTCAGCAAGCCTTAGACTCAAATAAACAGTTTTACAGAAATAACTGTTTTCACGGAAAGTGTCTGCCATCTCCAGACTTTCTTGACTACTGTCAAAAGCTTAATCCAAACATTTTTGGCTGCAAGTAAGAATGAAGGAGAAAGTGTTTATGATTAACTTACTTTTAGAGGAAGGTGGGTGAGGGGCAGCCTGTGAAATAGAAATGAGTTTTTCCAAGGAAAAAAAAAAGAAAATTACAATTTATATAAAAAAAAATGCATGCATAAAAGGCAAACAGCACTGGCAAAAGGATTCCAATGTTTCTTTTGTTTAAAAATGCAGCCAGCTACAGACTTCATCAGCTCTTCCCTCAGGCCATTCACAATTCCCTTTGAAATTCTAAAACTACAGTGCATGTTTTTAAACAGTGGGATATGTAATGATTTGAACAGTTTATCACAAGGTGTCAGATTTTCCTGCAGTAAATATGTTTAAGATCAGGACCAGATTGTTTAAGCAGAAATACTGTTACTCCTTTCTGACCCAAGAATTTAGCAGAAATTCAGGGTCAAAGTGTCATTTTATTCCAAAAAAAAGTTCATACAGAGGGTGCACATCTCTTACACGATCTTGGTATTTACAATGAGCATACACAAAAAACTATTTCCCTGGACACAGTAGGAGATAGTTTATTTGTTCACAGTGCTCAACTTCCATCTAGCTGACAATGAACTCAAAACCCTCTCTTTGTAAGTTCCCATCCACTCCTTAGGGTTCTCACTTAATGTTTGCTTTGCTTGACTTCTTGCTGCTTTTCTGTCCAGTGGTATGGAGTTATAAATGCTTCTTTTTCATGGTGAGACACACAAATGGAAGCATATATGCATTGCTCAAGTAATGGTATATGCTTATGCTTTGTATGGAAGCTGTTACAGTTTCAACAATTTTGTTCAATGAAGAAGATCCACTGTTCATTATACTTGTGATCATCAAAAACGGACAGCAGTTCACCTACTGGTTACACAAAGATTTAATCTGGCCCACAGTATACATCTCCATCCTACCACAAGGTTTTGAGATTGATATAGTAATTATTAACTCACATTCCAGAGCCGTAGTGTTCCCCCAGCCTTAACAGCTATGAATGTCTATAAGCAAAAGATAAAAGACACCATCAGGACAGATATGAACTGTTTTAAAATCCCATTTATATCTGTGCTTTTCAGGAAAGAAGAGTTGTTAGGGTGATTTCACTGTCAGGCAAGTAAAAATAATAGAGCAAAAAGTAACATTTGTGAGCATCTGCATTTCTGAAGGCTGACATAAATGCCAGTTGGAGTTAGCTGCTGCACTATGCTGAAACAAAGCAGGCCTTAGACTTTGGGAGATTATGGACTGTCACAAAATAGGCTAAAGTGAACTAAGAAAAACAGAGTGGTTCAAAGTATCAACAGAGCTGAAATACTCTCAAAGTGGAGAAGACAGGGATTTAAAAACAGACATGTTGGATTTGTAAAGGATGATACAAATTCACAAAAGGAGTTGTCTGAAGATGAGGTGATTTTTGACAACAGCACTTGTAGGAGGGCTTTTTAAATTGCTTTCAGCTTCCTCAGAGACTGGCTATGAAGCTGCATTACAGAAAGCTGAAGAGCCTTGTACTTCATATAAAAAAGAAATCTATGACAGTATATGAGGGTTCTCTCTAGAAGGAGAAGACGGGAAAAAAGAGGGGGAAAATGTTGAGCTACATTACTGGCCAAAGTCAGGCCACTTTGACCACTTTGCAAAAGAAGGGCTCCAGAAGACAGGGGGACAGACACGTGGACTCCAGAAGGAAAAAGCTTTTGCTGTAGGTGATTTATCCCAGTTCAACAGAAATGGCTGTGAGAATCTGTTTCCATATGTGATCCTCTCCATTGCTTCTGCCTTTCCCAGCAGAGGCTCTCTCAGACTGGTTGGCAGTTGCCAATACTCTGAAAAGTATGATAATATGCAATGAATACTATCCATTGTATCCATGGATTGTATCCATGCTAACAGATATTTTGCAAAACCCAGAATTGCACATCATGGATAAAAAGATAAAGACAGCACAACTGACCTGAAGGGGCAGTGGTGAAAACTGCAGTTGAGGTTGATTAGACTATCATCACTGAAAGCCAAAATACATTTCTTAAAGTTCAGCTTACTTTCAAAATGTAGATATCTAAGTCAAGAACTGTCAAAAAGATGTAAAGCGGGAGGGGATAGGAGGTGAAGGAAGGCAGGAAAAATTAAAACAAAACCACAGGCAATGAGAGGTGGAGAAGTTAAACCAGAGATCCTATGGTGGTGAAGTTTTCCCCTCATTAGAGAAGTTTGTTTCCAACCTAGCCAGACAAATGAATGGAAAAAATACAAACTGGGGCAGCAGAAGAGGAGAAAAACAACCCTTAAGTTAGGCCTCTTAGCTGGGCTATTTAGCAAGATCAAGTGGGCATCTGAAAGAGGCTAGGAGTTTCAGGTCAGCTTTCCTGGCATACCTCTCAAGACTCAAGGACCCCCCGTTGAATGGAAGGTAAGTGATTGGTTCGGGTAAAAGCATATCTGTGAGCAGTGAGGAAAAAGCAGATTAAAAGCGTCTTAGTTTTGATATTACAATACAAATCTTCTGCGACTCCCACACCAAAACAGCAGCAACCACAGTTACACCTTCAGATCCTGGGGGCTGTCATCCTCCAGGAACATCAGACTGTGGTGGGAAAAAAGAAGGTGCTCAGAAGAAGCAGTGTCAGTTTTGCAGAGAAGACTACATCTCTCTTGCCTGAGAGACCTTTAGTTCTGTAGATGAGAGGTGCAACCCTAACTGCATTGTCAGGAAATAAAAAGAACTGACTAATTCTCAGTGTCTACATGTCTGCCTGAAGTAGTTCGCAGGTTAAAAACCCTACACATTGCTTTGTTCTCTTATGACACTTCCCTTGATTTAGCAAAGGGCTTTGCTGAACTCAAATCCTGGAAAATAACTCAAGGAAAAAAGACCTAAGAAACCCTGGCTTGAACTATGGAACACTACACACAATAGATGATACACTTAAATTCCTATCGTAATGCAGTTATTCTTTGCTAGTTCTGTTTCTGTTAGGTACCACTTGCACAACAAAACTAAGCCAGGGCATTATTTAGTGGTTGCAGACATATTTTTCAAAGCAGTTGACAAAAACCACAGGAATGTAAAGGTCACTGTATTATGTGTATATCAACGTGATTAAAGCAAAATATAAGAAATCCATCCAGCCATAAAATAAAACATCAGAGATAATAGTGAGAGGAGGTTCCACATAATACAATCAGTAGCTGAGATAGCAAAAGGGTGTGTACAGACCTCCAGAGACAATTTTGCTTAAAGGCACCAAGATGTCTCACAGATATGAATTAAGGGGACATGTGAGGATCATTTATGAACTGAAAAACCTAAACCCAGAGCCAGGCATACTTCATAGTAGCCTGAAAGGTGCACTGACAGACATTAAGGAAACTACACATTTTATCATGTACATCCAAAATGTAATGCGACTCTCACAAAAGAATTCATGTTTGTGATACAGGAAAGAAGGAAAAATCTTTCTCTGGAGCAAAGGTGGGATGGCCTTCTTGAAGAGCTGAAATGGTCTAAGAGGATGCTTTTAGCAGCTGGTGCCAGCCTTTCTACAGGTACATCGGCTAGCCAAGTCTTTCATGAATCTGAGCATTTTCACTTGACAAAACATACTCTCTTTCATACATACTGCTTCTGTTGCTGAAGTAATCACTGAAGCACAAGTTCGCAATATTGGAACTTCTCTCGATTGCCTATAAACTTAGAAATTATAATCAAAACAGGAGAGGCAGCTACAAAAAGTGCATACACCGAGTGTGATTCATATTTAGTTTTGACAAATTGCAGACTGGCTAAAATGGAGCAGTAAGTGTTACAGACTACACCTCAATAAACCTATCTTAGCTATAAGGACATGTTTCATCTTTTATCCAGACTGGTGCTAGGAATCTTCAGGTGAGACAGAGCACACTTGTAATCTTGGGGCTTCAGGAGCAGCCAAAATATTTCTGTGAAAATCTGCAGCACAGGAATAACTGAGAAGTGCTGTAAGAAGGAGGAATGTCAGAAGAAACAGACTGTAGTCATGGGAGCTTGTTACATGGATGGTCACATAATGGGGGACACCTTCTCCAGATCACAGGGAAATCAGGATGCAGGCTCAGTGGTGATGAGTGTAAAAGGCTCAGAGGGCTGAACCCTCAGACACAGGTATAATCAGAACTAGCAGATCTACCATCACTCAAAGCAGTCATGTCCATCACACAGCAAAGCCCCACAGGGGTAGTGAAGCTGCGCAACTCAGTACCAAAGGGTTGTGACAGATTTTCCCTCGCAAATCTCTGCAGGGCTGGGAAGTTGTTAAAAGTCCAAAGGGAATACACCCTTATTCCTCAGCCGCATCAGTTCATATCCAGCATCTCAGTTCAAATCCTTCCTCACAGGATGCCGGTCTTTACGCAAACCCTGCCTTTGTTAAAGCCTTCATTGTCATTGTCACTTTGGAAGGCTGTTTATGTCTAACTGAAATTCTGTATTGTGCTAATGATGATCATTAACGGGACTGAGGATAGCCCTCGAATGTCCTGACCCCTGGCAATATTGCCAGACTTCTTCTCACTACTTTATTGCTGTTCTGCTGAACACACATGGCTGCTGTTAAAATCCCAGCCAGCTGCTAACAACTGCTGGGGTTTTCCCAGTTCATTAGGAGGCCACAAGTAGTTTTAAATCATGAAGCTAATTAAGCAGAAATAAGACTGCCAAACAGTCTAGGCCTCAAAAGAAATTGCTGACCTGGTAAAAGACCACAGGAAAGAGTTCAGCACCATCTGCAGACTCTGCCTCAGCTCATCAGCTTCCCCTATGCACATATTTCAGTATTATTTTTATGAATCGCTACCTTGGTGCTCCTCAGTGCTGGTCAGAAATGGTAGCTTTTAGCATCAGTTTGCTGTTAAAAGAGGGCCATCCACAAGCGTGTTCCCAGTTAGCCTATCAGATGAATGGCTTGTTGTGAACAGCTCTTCCACATCTGCACAAAGCCTCCCCCCCGCTCCTAACAGAATGGATGTCCTGAGGCAACTTCTCTGATCACCCTGGTAAGAGCAAGATGCGGATCAAGCTGTTCCTGTATCAGCAGGTAGGCAAGGCAACCGATGCTTTGAGCTATATAACCAACAAATTTTCATCTTGGTGATATGTACAAGGCCTGTAACAAGAATCTAACTCTGAGGGCTAGTTTTTAAGCATGATACAAACCCCAGTTCTTCAACACTGGAAGTTCCATGGTGCAAACAGCCACACAGAGACATCATCCAAGAGAGGTGGAAGCCAGCTTTGATACCTTGGGGCTGTGTTTAGCCCAGTGGAGGAAGCTTGCCTGAGGCTGTTCCCAGGAAGCTGTGTAGCTCGTGGCAAGAGATGTGTTCCCTGCAGGTAATGAACACATCCCCTTCTAGCTGCCTCCGCAATCAGAAATGCAAGCAATGATGTGGTTACATAACAACACGCTGTACTACATGAATTTCTCCTAGGCACCTAATATGTTGGGGTGTTTTTTTTCTCTCTGGGTTTGGCTGGTGGTTTTTTCCTCCAAATTCTTTGCCCTGTTACAGACATAAATTGGAATCAACTTTGGGAGAATGTCTTCCAATTGGAAAGGGGACTGAAGGCATATTTCCTCCTCCCATATTTCTGTGGGAAGACAATAGAGCTCACTTTTTTCACAAGTGATAAAACTGACATGATTCATACCTGCTAAAAAGCAGACCAAAATTCATTTAATACTAATTATGAATTGTATTATGTATTAAACCAAATTTAAGAAAAACTCTAGCATTGTTTCAGTAATTTGAGACTTCATTTAATCACACCACACCAGAAAGCAAAAGATTTATTTTTTTTTTTTTTAAGGAACAGCAGCTTTTAAGAAACCAAATAGAAATAAGAGTTCTCAAGTTGAGAAAGGACATTTCTTCTATTTTTTTCTGGTCCTTGCAGACCTTCCTTGTAAGAAAAATATGGAAAGTAAAATGCCTGGGGATTTTAATTTCTCAACTGCACCAGATTAAGAACAAAAATAGTTCTATTAAAAATTTTAAATAATGTATTTAAAATCACATGAGGAAAGAAATACTGTACCATCAGCATTTCTAACAGAGGCGAGAGACTGTAGACTCTAAAATATAATAAGCAGCATCTCACTAAAGTCAATGAGAATCAAACAAAGAAACAGCATTGGGAAACAGATGCTGGGATTCTTCTGCTTCCCCAGAGTTCCAAATGCATTTCTAACTTCACTCCTCCTTTTAACTACTCCTTTACAAACACAAACATATTGCTTAAGGTCATCTGCTGAGCTCTGCGCAAGATGAGATCCCAGGATGATCCATAGACAGGATTTGGATTTTATAGGTTGGTAAACAAAGACCCTTCAAAAAATGACTGTCAGAAACAATGGGAAAGACTAACTGTGCCATGCACATCACAGCAACCTGGAGGACAGAAGGGTAGAACAGAGGATCTGTGTCACTTAGGAGGCTGAATGCAACCTGCTGTCCTACAGAAACACATTAGAAGATCCATTTATCAAAAGCTATTGAGTAAATACAAATCTTACCAGTAAATCTACTCCCAGTTTGATTACATAAGTAAGCAAACTGCTCCTCTAGTCAGAAGCCAAGACCAGGGAACAGCTTTTTCTGGACCTGCAACCACCCACAGTCCTGAATTTCAATTTCCTTCAGGAGTGGAAATGGAAGCTTAGAGTAATGGGAGAAAGAAACTTCCACCTTTCTCCTGGGACAAGCAAAACATAGTTTAGGTTAAGGAGAGTCCTGAGATTTTCAATGTCGTGTTGTTTTTGCAATAGTGAACACATTTGAAATTTATGAAAGTCTTTGGCTACCAGCTAGAAGTAACAACAAATGACAGTGCTCACGTGAAGAGCAGGAAGCTCCAAGAGGTTTTTTCTGCCTTGAGGGAATACAGCCTGTCCTTCCCAGCACTCAGTTGCTGTTACAGGTGCCAAGGACCACTGGCTTCCTTGTGACAGGCCACAGAATACAAGTCTCCACTCAGCCACCTCTTGATAGACCAGTCCTTGGGACTTTAGTTCAGATAGCACTGATTTACCAGAAAACTCTCAGTTCTTTCTAAAGTGACCAATCCATGTCCTCATGCAATGCTGCTCCAGTGCCACTGAACAGGTCTTTCTGTGAGATGCTAAGTAAATAAAATAAATAAATACAGATGCCTGTATTTCTATGACAGCCCCTCCTCCTGCTCACCTACCCTTCCCATATCAGAACCACACGCTGACAATAGGAAAGGGGCATGGACAGAGCTAATTCTCACTTTCTTTCTATAGGTGGGGTGAAAAGGTTCAAAACTAGTTTTAATTTTTGTTTCTGTCACTACAGGGCTTGGGACAGGAGTCATGGTGCTCTAGACTCTGGCTTTGCTAGCAGAATGCTTCAAAACCAAAATACAGACACCTGTTTCACAGATACATGTTTGTTGCATGCGTCACATAGAGGCTGGATAAGTATGGCACAAAGAATTTAGTGACACTCATTTAGAACAACAAAAGTAATTCCTTTTGGTTTCATCCACTCACAAGCACTCCAACTGTCACAGAAACACAAGCTGAT